GCGGCGGTGGCATCAACGGCAACGGTATGAACGGCGGCAACGGTATGAACGGCGGCGGTGACATGAGCGGCGGTGGCATCAACGGCAATGGTATGAACGGCGGCAACATGGGCTCAGGCAACAACGTGCCGTCGCCGACGCCAGCCATGTCGATGCCGACGTCCGATGGCTCGGCGCAACCCGCCAACGGTCTCGGCAACAACCTTCTCGGCGGCAACGGTATGAACGGCGCTGGCGGCAACGGGATGAACGGTGGCGGGATGATGGGCGGCAACGGTGCTGCCGGCAACGGCATGATGGGCGGCCTCGGTAACGCCATGAGCTCGATGGGCAACAACGCGCAGCTCGGCAATGGCGGGCAGACTGGCACGGGCGGTCTTGGGCAGATGGGCGGTATGGGCGGTACCGAGTCGCAGATGGCCGTGCAGACGGCCGCACCGCCGACCGCAACGCCGAACGCGACGACCGCAGTCATGACAGTGCCGGCGCCGACCACAGAGCTGCTTCCAACGACGGAGGCGCCAGTGGCCGCCGTGTCCCGCAAGAGCGCGGGTGCGTCGCTTGCCGCGTCCATGATCTTGGCTGTCGGTGCTGCGGCGATCGCGCTGTTTTAAAACAGTGTTTCGGCGAAACAGTGCATCATGTACCATACAAACACCATGTCTAATAAAACGCCAACTTGACGTTGCAGTTTTGGTTTCGAAAAATCTCGACCATGGCGGACGAGGATCCGCTGCGGCGGCTCTCGGACGCAGCCCGAACGATCGTCAAGCAGCGCCGAAGCACGCTGACGGCCGTCGCAGCGGCCGAGGCAGACACCGACAACTCGGACGACGACGAGCACGATCTCGGCCTCTTTGCGGCCAAGTACCACCGCCTCCGCCACGTCACGGCTACCATGGCGCCTGTCGAGCGCGACGTGCAAGCGCAGTGGCTTTGGTGCGACCGCCATCATGTCTCTTGCCTCAGTCGTCGCTTGGACTAGGCTCAATGGCAAGCTCGTGGACGCCAAAGCCCACTTTATCGAGATTGCGCGGTCGGCCCCGACGTATCCGCACGTGCACTTCAAGCTCGGGTATCTCTACCTCCTATTGCACGACGCGCACAAGGCCTTGGACGCCTTTGGGTAGCGCAATCTTCGTCCTCTCATTGCCATGAATGCTACGACCGTGCTAGGATGGAGGTGGCAACGCTCTTGGCGACGCCCGAGCCAACGCACGAGGTGCATGGAAAGCGGGTCGCGGCCAAGGTAGCCTCTCTTCCTCGCTCCTCTTGCACGCGTCGATATGTCTCATTAGGCCTTTCTCTGGTGCGCCCATGCCGGACGATACGAAGCATACACGCAGCTGCACCAGCCAGAAAAAGCGCTGCACGAACAAGCGGCGCTGGAGGCGCACGGCGGCACGTCGCTCGAGGCCCATGTAGCCATGGGCAGCCTCTTTGCCCGTCTCGGCTTGCTCCACCGCGCGGATCTCTGTTTCGAAAAAGGTACTATTTTTTGATGGACAACTTGTCCAATATCTACTTATTGTAATGCTTTGATGATGCTAGCGGCAGCACTCAATGCACGGGATCCCAGCTACTTGGCCGAGCACGCCAGTGTGCTCTTGCTCCAGAAGCGATACGACCGGTCGCTCGCCATGGCCGTCCAGTGCGTGGCCGTCGCAGCGCCGCTGAGCTACGATGTCTTCCGCGCCATGCTGCACCAAGCGACTGCGCACATCCGGCTGCGTCAGCTCCCGAGTTGGCCTATATCGTTGTTAGTATCAACTTTGTATCAATATGCGGTGGCTAGAGGCCAAGAATATATTGCGCGAAGTCCTCGACAGCCTTGCGCCACTGGTGGAAGAGCACATGACTCCTCTCTTGGAAGGCTCCGACATGGACCGAGCGACCTTGCGGCAGCTGTACTTTGATGCAAGCCAATCCGACGGTACATTTCGAAACCATTTTACCGAAAAATGATTAAGGATCGAGATCATAGGCTGCCGGGCGCTATTGGCAGGCGACTTGCAGCATGCGCTCGACGTCTACTACCGCCTCGCCAACGATTTTTCCGATTTTCAGGTCCATTTCCGTGCACCCCAACGGTAATTTGATGGTTCAATTTACCGTAGCTGCCCGTCTTGCTCGTGGCCCCCGGAGCGCGGAACGCGACCGGCAACGTGGTCGACACGTCAGTTTTTTCGGTCGACAATATTGTCAACGCCCTCGTGTACCTAGACGAGGTAGACATACCTCTGGAGACTTTGCATGCTGAGCAGGGTAGATGGAGGCGCGATATGGCCCGGATGCGTGCTTGTACTTTCACCGGTACGACCATCTACGGACACAAAATACTTAGTTGGATCAGCGCCAACGTCTACCGAGCGCTTGGGAACCTCAATAGCTTCCTCGAGGACCTCAAGATCCTGGAGCGGCTCGCCCCTCACTTCCTACCGACGTACTTTAGTCACGTACGTAATTAGTTTATTCTCTAGCGCGTGGACTATCTTGACGTGTAGGGCAGCTTCGGGGACTTTCTTGATGAAGAGACCATGACGTGGCTGCCACACCGTCTCTTGTGTGCCCTCCACGCGTCGGAGAATGTTGCTCGTACAATTGATCTATTGCAATATGAATACTAACATGTACTAACTAGACCATGCAACAAGGATCGAAAATGCTCCGATCGTCGAGTACTTGCAGACGCGTCGGCAGTATCAACCGCTTGATATTTACGCCGACATTTTCCTCATCGATGGACTCCGACGCCTCGAGCTGGACGGTGCGACTCGGTCCTTTCGACTAGCATTCGAAACGATGTTAGGCGAGCTCTCGCTGGCCACCAAGCGGCAGCAAGAAGCAGCGAGCGTGTCATTTGACGACTCGCTTTGCGGTCTCAACGACAAGGTACACTATTTGTGAACGATTGTATGTACAATAGTGTATGCAGACGCCGCCGTTGACGAGCCTCGCGTGCATCGGCTCGCTGCTCGAACGCCACGCGAACTTGCCGCTCGTGCACTTTGTCGCGGGACTCGTCTACATGTCGCAGTTGCGCGCCTTTGGTATAGGATATGATAGATAACCTGTCGATCTCTACATAGTCTCAATGTATAGATGCGACGCGACACTTTGGCCTCTCGATCGAGCTTCTGAGCGACGCCCTCGGGCGCATGGAAGCAGCGATGCAGCACCGCACCGGTCCCACCCACGTGGACCTGCCGACGCGGTGCGTCCTTGAGCGTGACGCGTGGTCTAATCGAGCATCTAGATGGATCTACCAGAGCTACGCGCGGGCCAAGTACCATGCACTGGTGTGGTATGACGACTCATTACTGATAGAATGGTATCTCAAATCGTGTCTGCTAGGCGGTCAGTGCTTCACCGTCTACTGCTCAACACGGTCGAAGCCAACGACGATCTGAAAGCAGCGTTGGCGCTCTTTCCTCGGGATCCCCATGGTCAGGTAGATTGCTATCTCTTCAAAAGTCGACATAAACCATCGAGCGCTAGCTCGTCAAGGCGATGAGCATGGTGCACTACAGCCAAACGCGCCATGCGATCAAGCCCCTCCAAATCGCCCTCGACGTGCGAGTTGAACTCCCTAACGACACGTCGTCTCCACAGATTCGATGGACTAGAGTCTGCGTGCGAATGGGTTTGGTAAGAACAAGGAGATGGCGGTCGACTACATTCTGGGAGCGGGCACGGCGTCCTTCTCGCTGCTGCCGGGGGTGCGTTTGGTTATCTTCGACCCTGCCTAATGGTTTGTTTGGTAGGAGCTGCGCAAAGCGCGCAATGCGGCGCTGCATCAACACTACACGGGATCGACGCCATCGACAACGCACGGCCGAAGCTCGACCAACGCGTCCAAGCTTGCCACCAAGATTCTAACGATGGACGCGCTCGACAAGCTGTACGACGCCGGTGTCCTCAAGCTCTCCAAAGGCTTGGTAACACATGGTGTTCTCGTACACTGTTTGTTCCAGTGGATGGTAGATTGCGTCGGCGATCGAGTATTTTCAAGCGCTCACGTCCATCAAAGAGACGTACATGACACCGTCGATCGAAGCCCTCCTCGATTTGCAGCGCTGTCGCGACCCTCGCTTGGTCGACGAAAAGGTGCGTTCGAACAAAATGAATCTGGTGCGTGACATCTGGTACTCGTGCGCACCTAGATTTACGCGTGCCACCACCGATTGAGCAAGCGTGGACTCAAGCTTCTCAAGCTCCTGCACATGCCGATCGAAGGTCTCATTGACATGACAGTGTGCTTGCACTACGCCCCGCACGATGTCGACACCTACTGGCACCGGGCGATGCTGTACCGGCAGTTCCGCAACTACGACGCCTGCCTCCACGACCTCTCTCTGGTGCAAACCCTCCACTCGATCTGACGGATATATAGATAATGATGGTAGGCACTCGAGCTTACGCTAAACGGCGAGACGGCCACAAAGCTCCGTCAAGTTCGCTTGGATCGGTGATGCCATATGTTTGTACCTTAACCCTAATCACAAGCCCAACTAGGTACAAGACGCTCATTCTCGCTCGGAGCGACGTCTACAGCGTGGCCAAGGACCCGGCCAAAGCGCTCTCGGACCTCAACGTCGCCATGGAGCTCCACTACAGAGAAAAGACGCGGGACCCGACGGTCACCGCAGCGTTTCACGACAAGCGCTGTGCGCTCCTCGTCCGACTCCGGCGGTTCGAACAAGCCATCGAAGTCGAATTTCTTGTATCGATACACCTTTCTGACTGGCGTACGTAGGACATGGAGATTGCACTTCAACTGACGACGACGGACGGCCCGCTCTCGGACAATGCGATTCTGAACCACCTCTTATTGGGGAATTTGCACTGCCAGATGGCCATGACGAGCCAGAAGAAGCAGACAATCTCGGACCACTACCTCTTTCCGACACCCGTACTACCGTTGTTGTTTCGCTATAGCAATGTACAGTGTAGGCCAACCCGCTGACGTCGGTGGCGGCCGCGTCACTGGCGACCGCGTGCACCTACTACGACAAGGTTTTGTCGGAGAAACCCACGTTTGCACTCGCGCTCTTCCTCAAGGGTTCAATTCCTGTGTCCGACACTCTTTTTTTACCGAAAATGGAATCTAGGTCGCATGCACGCCGTTCAAGGCGACTGCGTCCGTGCCCTCGGGTGCCTCGACGACTGCTTGCGGTCTCTCGGTCCCTAGCTCTGCCACATCTAAGCGAACGTCGTAGGCAAGATGCTTGGTTCGTCGCAGCACATTTTTTACGTGGCAGCATCCGCGCGCAGCAGTGCCTCCCCGAGCTGGCCCTCGCGGCGTTTCTGCTCGTCCGCAGCAAAGTGCCGCTGTACCCGAATGTGCAAACGTCGATAGGCTATTGCTACTATATCCTGGGCAACCACAAGAGCGCGGTTTTCGAGCTCACCGAAGCGAGTACGTACACCATCTACCAGGTAGTCCTATTACGATATTGCACTAGTCGCGCAGGCCAGCTATGATGCAACTGCGCACTACACCCGCGGCCTCGCGCTGCAAGAAGTACTCGCACTGGACAAGGCGGTCGACGACTTTTCGACTGCGATTGCGCATGACACGCGCATGGCGCCGGCCTACTTTCAGGTAGAAAAAATGGGACACAGCGGGGATCGATGCGTGGCCTAGCGCGCGATTTGCCGCCTCTTGCAGCAAGACTACAGCGGCGCGAGCGCCGATTTGCGCGAGACGATTCGGCTCGATACGAATATGTTGCACGCGTACGTGTTGCTCGGGTATGCCTGCTACCACAACGACCAAGTGACGACGGCGGTCGACGGTAAGATCTTTGCCATCTTCTTTTATAAAAACCCCATGAAGTGTACTCGCAATTTCTACTCGAGAAAACCACAGACGCCAAAGTACTCGTGTACCGTGGCTTGTGCTACTACCGCCTCGGCGAACTCGACTTGGCGCTACGCGACCTCCACCGAGCGGTACACTATTCGGACACCTATTCCGCGATCAAGAAGTCTCCAAGTCGAAACGACTAACTTTTGTCTAGGTCAAGCTTGATGCCAAGTTGTGGTTTGGCTACTATGTGCTCGCCTTGTGCTTTCACAAGAAAGCGGACGTGGACGGCACGGCCAAGAACATTGCGCTCTGCGTCCCGTACTTCAAAGAGGTGCCGACAGCGGCGTCTTGGGATGCGACGCCGCCGCTGTGGCACATCAACTCGGTGTTTGCCTACCGCGGTGACGACACAACGGCCTCGCTCCTGCGTCTAGCCAAGTACGCCTGCAAGCACTCGTCGGCCCCACATCGAGCCCCGCGGCCCGCCCTCGGTTTGTAAATTTTTGTACATGTCTCAAAATCAAACCAAAGCGACTAGACGCAACGACGCCGAGCCCCCGGCAGCTCTACTTGCGAGTGCTCTTTCGTCGTACGATCCGACACGTGGTCTTTCTAAGTCGTGTCGTCCGGGAAATGGAGAGCCATACGTTTACCGCGACGTCGCTCAACGCGCATCTCTCGCGCCAGCTCGAAGCGCTTGCGGCCCCCGTTCGCATCCCGCCCCCCCGTGGTACCAACGTGGCCGACAGCTGTGCTCTGCATTCATACGCCTAGGCCTCTTTACCGATGCGTCGGTCGCGTGGGCGTATAATTTGCTTGGTACCATGTGCCACCGCCACAAGAAGCTCGAAGACGCTCTGCGCAACTTCACGCTCGCGATCGCTGCGACGCCGACCAACCCGGTGCCGTACTTTAACCGGTACGACGCATATTGTCGATCAAAAATGGATTATCCTCTAGCGGCAACATCTACTTGGCCATGCACGCGATTCCTTCCGGTATGAGCACAAGATTGTCATGCATTTTAAAGGGTGGCGATAGCTCTGACCGAGTACACGGACGCGCTCCAAGCCAACCCGGAGCATGTTCCGTCGCTGATTAACGCGGCCCTCGCTTTTCTACTGCTGCACAACGTCGACGACGCGCATCGGTATTTGCGGACAGCGACGACGCAGCTGCCCTTTGTGCCAGACGCGCGGTCGCAAGTCCTCGTGAGCTACAACTACGCCAACGTTCTTCGCCAACTCGACCGTCTCGACGAGGCCATCGAGTGGTAGCATCGACCACTTGTCGGCTTTGCAATGGACTTGGCCGTAGGTACACCAAGGCCATGGAGCATACGTCGACGGATCTCTGGCTTTTGCACAACCGCGCGACGGTCTACCACGCGCAAATGAAGTTTACGTCTGGTAGTTGCGATATCTATCAATGTGTAATGTTGCGATCTCCGCCTAGCCTTGCACGATTATGCCGCAGCGTTGGCGCTGGCACCGTCGACGCTTGAGACGCGCGCCAACCGCGCGCAGCTGTACATTGCGAGCTCGCGCTGTTTCTTGGCGTCCCAAGACTTGGACATCGCGGTCACGTACCTCCCGAGTGCGTGTGTGTTTGTCGCCAATGCCAGTGGACACTCTGTCTTGTAGGCAGCGACAAGGCGGCGCTGGTGCAGCGATTGCATGGCTTTTGCAAGCGCTGGACCGAGGCGATGACGGTCGCACGCGCGGATTTCGTGTATGTGTTGCACGCGTTCCCTTGCTTTGCCAATGTGGCGACGGACGGGACAGCACCGTTTCTCGACCCGTTCTTCTTTCACTACAGCGACCTCTCGGACGCGTCCCATGCGGCGTCCAGCGGTGCAAACTCAAACTCCAATGCAAGTCACGTTGTCGACGATCAAACGTAGCGCTGGAGCGCATGCTCGCCGCGTCCAAGGCGGCCGACTTACCGCGCCTCGTGCACGCTGCACTCGACGCGATGCGGCACATGGACTTTGCCACGGCCCAGCGGCTGCTGTTGAGTGCCACGTACACGTCCAATCTGTCGTTGGAAGAGCTGCAAGTGTGTCTGCTCTGGCGTGCGCAGGTACGATTCAATTTTCGATTTCATCGTCGCCTTGTGACATATTTTGACTATTCTCTTTTTGTCGGATGTTGACGTGTCGCTATGTAGCTCGAATTCGATCGGGGCAACGCGAACGACTGCCTCGAGATGCTGCAACAGCTGCTGCTCGCGACCGAGCCGCGCGACGATGGTAGCAACCCGGTATGTTCCACGACGAATAGCCAACACGGCCTCTCTAGCCGACCGTCGCCCACGCGACACCCCCTTGCCACTCCAACGCTGGTCGCACATATGCTCACAGCGATACTTGGGATGCAATGCTGAGCATTTGCGCGTAGGTCGTCGTCGCTGACGTCGACGCAAGCGCGCTGCAGCATTGCGTCCGACATTTACGCCTATGCTGGCTGCGTGTTTCAGGCACAAAACAAGCGCGAGCAGGCCAAGCACGCGCTCGAGAAGAGTCTCCGCCTTGTGCCGCACAACATGTTTGCATTGCTCAACTGGTATCTCCTCTCTCGTCGCTTTGAAACGGACATACTTTGTCCATTCTAGCGTCCATTTATACTCGCTGGAAGGCGACTTGTACGCAGCCATGGACACGATAGCCCGCGCCATCGACTTTGTGGTACGTCCGTTTCCTTCACGCGATCGATGGACGCTGGCTCTGTAGGCTCGTGGCGTCGCCGCGCCCTCGTCCGCCGCCACCACAATGAGGGTAGGGTTCCACTAGTGCGAGGATGCAGCGAGTGTGTCTACATCACACATGATCTAGCACGCCAAGGCGAGCGTTTTGCATCGGTCCCACGATGTCCATGCGTCCTTGGCGCACACGCAGCTCTTGACGCACCCCACCTGCGCCAGCGTACTTTTTCAAATGTGAAATCCAGTGGAAGAGCATGTGGGCTAGATTTGCTCAACACTCTCGAGTCTCCTTGCCGAGTACAAGGCGCTGTTGACGTGGGACGTTGGCAACCACATTCCGCAGCTCTGTGCGCTCCAAGGCAAGCTTGCGATTCATGCCGAAGCCCTTCGGGACCTCGTGACCAAGCAGCGCGAGCCCGAGACCAGCAACAACAACAGCAATATCCAACTGCACAGTCTCCATCAGATACTCGATCAGTGCGCGCTTGAGACGAGCCAACAACCCGCGCTCGAGTCGTCGGCGTGGCGGCGGCTCGTCCAGCCGACCAAGCCACTGCGCCGCCGGTCGATGCTGCTTCCGAATGTCGACGTGCCGTCCACGCCTGCGTTTCAAGACGAGTACAACCGCGTGGTCGCTCAAATTGAGCCAACGCTGGTGACCGATCAGGACGAGATGTAGTAATGCCGTCTCGCTAATATACATAGCAACGTGTTTATCGACAGCAGCTCAACACGAAGGACTACTATGCCAACGAAGCGTACGTCGGAATTTTGGTGCGAATGATGCGCAGGGCCTCGGGGCCTAGGGTAACAATATAACGAGGGTTGAGGCGTCGACAGAGTACCTCCGTTGCGCTCGAGGGCCCCGAGCGTATCATCGATCGTCGCACGCAGCGCTTTGGACGAGTACTTGCGGTGGATCTGCTGGATGAGCTTGGGCAAATGCACATTCATGTCCGACCCCACGGCGTCCGCAATCGCTCTAAGTGGACAATAATGTCATTCGTGTAAACTCAATAAGTCGATACAAGATTATACGTACTGGATCGCTTTGAGCGTGACGACGAGCACGTCGTCGTCCGGGGCCATGAGCGCCGCCCGGATCGGCGGAATGAGCAGTCCGAGGAGCGGCCGGACCTTGTCGTCGGCGCCCTAGCAAATGCAGAATGAGACTCGAGTTGCCGTCAACTGCGTATACGTTGGCGGTCATAAGGTCGTTGAAGCCTTGGCGCGCGAGAAAGACGTACGGGTGGTCCGTTTCTTGAAAGCCCTCGCAGCACGTGACGAGGAGCGGGTTGTACTCGACGTCTACTCGGCCACGTCAAATCGCATTGCTATAACGTTGGAACGATGTACCTTCGGGCGACTGGTTCCACTGCAGCGCATTTTTGATCCCTCCGTGGTTGATGCTACGCGCGTTAATGTGATCCTTAGAGACCCAAAGTTGGCGTTGAGATGAATGCACCGGCAAGGGATGTTGCCGGCTGCGTACGCGGCGCCAAAATTCCTAGTTCAAACGGGTTAGGGAAACGACGTTATAGCAGTTGGCGTACGTTTTGTGCTTCTTCTTTGTACTCCACGGGTCAGCTTGCTTGTGCTTGTTGAGCGCTTGCGATGGCATCGGATGTCCTGGCTTCTTGGCTTTGGCTAGCATCGTCGCATGAGAACGTGCCACGTAATCTCTCGGAAATTGCATACCGGCCTCGACATCGTTGTTGCTGCTGCTTGGCTTGGCAGCGGGCTTCTTGGTGCGAAGTGGGGCGTCCCGCTGGGGCATAGCGGTACTGTCCGGCTCCTTGTCGCTGCGAGAGGTACTCAGGCGCGCCCGACTACCGTCTCGAATCCCAGCCTTCTCCGACTGGTTGGACACGGGGCGAGCGGTCGTGGTCGGCTTGCTCATCGGCTTGCGCGTGATGGCCTTGGCGTCCGACGACGTTGCCGTCTTGGCTTTGATGGTGCTCATGCTCACGGCAGATTGCTGACTGAATGTGTCAACGCCATCGCTATACATAGCCCAGTTTCCGACGACTATTCTTACACAAAACTAGTCGAATTTTTGCAATCTTCCATCGTACTTCAAGGTACTAACGTTTAAACGATTACACGAGTATAAGGGCAACGACCCACGAGAGGACGAGGGTTGGGAAGGCGACATCTGCCATCACGCCGCTGCTGGGATTGCTGCTGGCGCTCAACCGGGCGGAAGGCGGTGGCGCAGTGTCGGCAAAGTACGGGTTGAGTTCGTCGCTCGACAAATCGACGGCGCCATTCTCACGCGCCATGGCATAGGCGTTGACCGCGTAGCCCCAGTCGGGGCAGCCGTAGCAGCCTGTCGTGCCGCCACGCGTACAGTGCGACGCGCACTCGGGTAGCACGTCGCTCGCAAGAGCAGCCGCCACAACAACACTGCAGCACCGTAAGAAGCGTACCATGGCTGGTGCAATGGCGAAATGGCGAGGTCAATAGCGTGGGCTTGAAGGACGAAATGTCTTTTGTTTGTTTTATCGCTGGCGTTGATGGCGCTGTCAAGGACAGGCCATGGCAGATTGCCCTTTTCGGGGCGGACTTGAGCAAAAGCTCGCGGGTTTATCCTAACGATATGAGTGAATGAAGCACCAATGTAGTGCGCCCTGTCACGTGCAGCTTCACTGAGGAGGACATTTTCCAGACTCGGTTTCTGCGGCACGGAATGACGCTCGAGAGATACCGCAACACGATCAATGCTTTTAACGACGCGCCTCTTGTCGACGCCGCCAAGAACGCCGTCAGCTGCAGTGAGGCGCCTCGCTCGAGATGCTGCGCCCTCTATCTCTGGAAGAGGCACCAAGCCGTCGCTCCGACTCGAGAGTTTGTCGTACACGCCGTCGTGAACATACTTGTACGAGATAGTTGGCAAGTGGACACAACATATCAACGTCAACTTTCACCGACAGTCTGCAACAGAAACGCAAGTTCATCCAAGTAAATAGTCCGTGTCATCCGGCTCATGTACGCATCGTGTTGTCTTTGGTCTCAAATAGTACTACGAGATCGACGACAACGAGAACGCTACCTCTGGCGCTGACGGTCGGTCGATTGGGTTGTACATCAAACACTGCGTTGCGAGCTGGCGGACCCACGTTGGACACGACGCTGTGAACGTCGGCTGGATCGACCCCGCGATCACGAGACCCACGATCGCAGTGTCCACGTACGGCTTGCCCGTCGTCGGGTTCATTGCGTTCGCATACGGAATCTCGTGCGTGTCGAGCTCCGACAAGATCATTCCTATTCCAAAAGAGATATAAAATGAGACTCCTACACCAGATACTAGAATCGAGTCGAATGTCGTCCTACCCAGCGAAAAGATGTCGGCGGCGATCGTGTAGTGGTCGTCCTTGAGTATCTCGGGCGCCATCCACCGGTACGTGCCCACGCTCATGGTCATAGTTTCCTGAAAATCTTCTTTCGAGACGCCGAAATCACTCACTTTGGCGCCTTTCGTCGAGTCCAGTAGGATATTCCTCGACTTGAGGTCGCGGTGGATGACGTTCATCGAGTGCATATAGACTAGGGCGTCGACCACATCGCGGAGGACGCGGAGCTTCCACGCCCAGTCCAAGCTACCATGCAAAGCCAAGTGGGCTTTGAGGTCGCCGAGGTCCATGAGCTCGAGCACGGCGGCGAGGTCACGGGGTCGGGTCCACGCAACACCGTACAAGGCGACGATCTGTGGGCACTGGAACCTAGTCATGCCGACAATCAAAGGCTGCTAGAGTAGGTATAGGGTGGGGGTAGGGTACATACCGGTTCATGAGTTCGAGCTCAGCGACAAAGCTGCGAATGTCCTCGACACTGCCGCGCGTCGGAAGCAGCCGTTTGATGGCAACCGCCCGTCCACGAAGCGAGCCGCGCCAGATCTCGCCGAACGCGCCTTCGCTGAGTCTCTCGACGTAGGTCACGTCGCGGATGGAGATGCGAATAGGTTCGAGCACATCGAGTTCGGTGGCCAGTCCATCGGACGTCTCGACTTCGGCTACTCGACCATACTCATGAGATAGCGAAGACGAGACTTTGATACCGTAGCGGCGTCGGCGCTTGTAGAGAACGAAGGCTGTGCCGAGAAGCGCCAGCAATCCTGCGACGGCGGCAGCAACAATCGCCCAGTCATAGCCTAGGGGTAAATTGGCGTCTTGGCCTCTTTCGATGCGGATCTACCGTGTCCGGCACTTGGGGTCGGGTCGGGGGCCAATGTTCGCATCGGAGTGGGGTCAGGGGGCGATGCTTTAATTGGCGTCACGACGCACGCTGACCACGCGTACAGAGAGTCCCGGGACCAAAGCGGTTGGAGCGCACCGCCCTCTGTGGTGCCACACGAGGCGCTGGGGACGTTGGTATCGAATGACGCATCGCCAGAGGAAGCGTAGTCGAGGAAGGACGGTCGGAGGCGACGGAGTGCCACGTATGTTGTCGCATCGATCGAGATCTCGCGAAGAGCAGTCGACATGGCGCCACTACGTACATGCATGAGCTTGTCATCAAACCACCGAGCATAGAGGATGACGCACAATTTGTCGATCGCGCTCGTGAGCGTCAAGTTTTTGATGCTCTGGAGGGCGCCGTTGCCGCTGAGTTCCCTACGCAGTACCTCAGCTTCCATACTATACACTGAGCACTTTGTACAAGCACGTAAGAGCGGGCCAGTACATGTCGTCGAGCGATGTAAGCGCGTTGCCGCGCAGGTCTCTACGCAGAAGAGCGTAGGGACACGAGATGACATATTGTACACAAGTACAAATATGTCAACGACAGCGGTCGTAGTGCAGTGACATCTTGGATGTGGTTGCCATTGAGCCGTCTACGAGAGCTTAGAGATACAACGACATTTGACACTCAAAAGAGTCCGCACAGTGCGCGAAGGGTCGGCGGGAGGTTCGGGGGCAGCGCATCCAGCTCGCTGCCGGACAGCAGTCTACGCGCTGAATCGTGACAACAGGGCGACAACGAGCCACGTACAAGCACTCGAGGTTGGACGGCCACGCAATCGTCGGTGAGAGTGAGCGTAGCTTACAATGGTTCATGGCTCTACACTTGCGAGTGAGCTCCACTGCGATACTTCAACGCCTACATGGAGGGGCGGCTCAACCTCGTGCTGCTACGAAGAGGCAAAGCATCGTCTCACAACTTTGCTCTTCGACTAGAGAAAATACGTACTAGAGCGTGTTTGGCAACAGGAGCTGGGAGAGGTCGAGGTACCCGCCGCCGCAGTCAAACCCGCTAGCAGAGTCGATGAGTGCGGATAGGACAATGGCGTGAAGACTACAGCGTCGCGTTGGCGTAGTTGGTGACGTTGCCAACGGCGGCGAACGAGTACGTGGCCGTGTGGGTCGCACTCGAATCCGTCTGATCCGTCGACAGCATGTTGAGTAGCGCATTGACGCTGTAGTTGCGCGGGACGCACTGCTTGTTGAGCAAGCAGACAGGCGCCGTCGGTGGGCAGTTGTCGTCGGCTGCGAGAATCGCCGCGTCGTCAGCAATTGCCAGCGAGCTGTACGGACACGGCTTCATGTTGGGTTTGCACTTTGCTGCTGCTGCCAGCTTGGAGTGCGCTGCACTGTGCGTAACATTGACACGGATATAGTGTGCGTAATTTCAACGCAGGTGTCGATTGAAAGACGCATAAATTGGTGTAAGAAACGCATATTTTTCACACGTGAAAATACAGCCAGCATTTCACACGGGGTCACGATGACCAGCGAGCTGCTCGATGTTGCGGCCCTAAGCTGCAGCCGCATGCGTCACCGGTGCCAGCGAGCTGATCGCCGAGATTGCTGGTCATAGACTTAACAGTGGTGTCGCCGCCTCGTCCTTGCAGCAGGAGTCGAGGGTCGGATCTTGCCGATAACGATGCCTCCAAGTCTTCTGCCGCA